ACCTCTCCATAATTCCTTCAATTTCATCTCCTGTTAAAGAAAGCAAGTCTAACGGGGTGAGCGGATGCTCGTGAGGCCAAGAAAAGAAAAAAAACATACAAGCAGGTAATTCAAGTAACAATAAAGCTGACATGAGAGATAAAGCAATAACATTCAAGTAAATCCCGAATATTCACAAGATACATTCCAGAAGGGTACAGGAGCTCTTTGAAGCTCACTTCCATTTGTTTTACCAAAGTCCTATCCAATAGTCCGTAGAACTTTACTTATTCCATTTATGATTCTGAGTCGAATGAGAGGTACCTCCCACCCAAATCGGTGTGGTACATACTATCGCTCAGTGATCGATTATACGTTTATGGTCCTGAGTCGAATGAGAGGTACCTCCCACCCGAATTGGTGTGGTACATACTATCGCTCAGTGGTCGATGAGACATCGTTCCAATTGACTTATGCTTTGCTCATAGTTCTGAGTCGAATGAGAGGTACCTCCCACCCAAATTGGTGTGGTACATACTATCGCTCAGTGATCGATTATACGTTTATGGTATCTCCCACCCGAATTGGTGTGGTACATACTATCGCTCAGTGGTCGATGAGACATCGCTCCAATCGACTTAGAAAGGTTTATGGTTCTGAGACGACATGAAAGGTACCTCCCACCCGGATCGGTGTGGTACATACTATTCGCTAAGAGCTCACGAGTTAAACATATTCATGTACAATTACCAATCATTATTTATGGTTCTGAGTCGACATGAGAGGTACCTCCCACCCGAATCGGTGTGATACATGCTATCGCTCAGGGAACCGATTTTAGCACTGAGACGGTATGAGAGGCACCTCCCACCCGAACCGGTGTGGTACATGCTTCCGCTCAGAACTTACGAGTTAAACGTGTTCATGTTATTCAAGCATTTGATATATCCAAGCATTTAATATATTTCAGCATTTCAAGCATGAGTTATTCATTTCAAATGAGAACGAGTGCGATAAAGTACACACTCGGCTCGGCAAGTTTACGTATCATGTATAATACTTGTACAACTAATATCTCAATCACATAAGCATTTAACACATACTTGACACTCACCAAGTAGCAAGAGTAAGTAGGTTCAATTTGAAGTTCAAGCGTCCACCGTGGAATCCTCTTGAAGGTTCTCGTGTGCGCCTGAACAAATAATAATAGACTATCATTCAAATATCCCCACTATTGAGAAAGATCGTATCATAGTACAATCTTAGAAAAATCTCGTGAAACGAGCCTTAATTATCCTAAATTGAGACTCTCAAGCGGGGTTTCAAAGTACAAGAGAAATTAAGTCTACATCATGGAAATCAAGGATAAAATATTTGAATAATATCGAAGGAATAAGGAGTACTTAAAAAACTCCATTTCCTTGGAATTCGAAAAATTTCTGTTTTGACATAAATCTTTGAAAAATCGTATCTCATTCTTTGTAGGTCCAAAATTGGAAAACTTGGTACCGTTGGAAATCTTTTTGAAAGTACTAAAAGTTATTAGAAGATACATTTCCATGAATCTAAGTGGAAGGCATTAAAAAATGGGCTTAAATTTACAGTTTCAGGGTGCTCAGAATTGTGCTGGGGTTGGTTTTTTGCTAACTTTGGAAATTCGGTAAAATTCATACGTTGCTAACCAGCTTCCGAACTTTATAACTCAATTAGAGTTGCAAGTAAAGTTTAGGACAGAACAAGCGGATCAAGAATCCGAGTTTTGAGCACCGAGATACGGTCGCTCAAAGTTGGAGGAAAAACAAAACTCTTAAGCTAGTTTCCAGATTTGAGTTCCAAACTTTGGGACTTTAGTTTGGTAGCAAAATGGACTCAAAACGGCACCAAATTTGGTATGAATATACCACCATATAAGGGCCACTCCCTTACCAAATTTCATAGAAAAATATGAACGGGAAGTCGGTTAACAAAACCGTTGAAATCGCAAGAAGTTCGAAGGCTAAGCTGCCTTTGAGCTTTCGTTTTGCCGTTTTCCAAACATTTGGCCAAGAAATGACTCAAACATGATTCATTCCAGTAGGTAATATCTAAAATATATCCAAGGTACATTTGATAGGTGATTTACACCAAGAAATTTCGAATAACAAGTCCCAAATCATTGCTAGTTCAAATCTGTCCAAATGTAAGGTATTCCTTCACCAGACTAGATTCGAGTTTTGATCATAAATCACTCAATTCAACTCAGAATTGAGCGTGGTTGGTGGTGTTGAAAAATAGACTCATAAGGTTACATTTTCTCAGAATAAACCATTTTCAAAATCAGTCCATAACCAGCTCGTTCGTGAGCATTAAGTTGCAGCTCATGAGCTGCCTTCCAGGAAGCAACGAAACAGAACAGTGGATTTCAAATGAATGGTTTGGCTAGATCAAGTAGAACCAGGACATGAATTTTATACCAACGGAAAGCTAGGGATATCTAGTTTCCAATGCCACAAACGGTACTCGATTCCGACATCGGAGCAACAGGTTATCGCTGAAACAAGAAGACTGCCTGGGCAGTGACGGGATTCAAATTCCAGATTTTCAAGCTTTCGAATTTCCGACATTTGGGTGATCAAATCATGTTATTTTTCAATGAAACTTTTTACACAACTAATATAACATGTAAAAAACATAAAAAAGCCATTAGAACATCAAAATTTGGCATTAAAGTGCTTGAACAAGGCAGGGGCAAAATGGTCACTTTTGGTCATTGCACCATCTTGGAGTTTCTAACAATAACCCAACATTATACCACTAATTTAAACACTAAACCAACATAATTATCATCATCAACCACCAAATCAGTTCATCAACCAAAGTGGGAGTTCATAGAGTCCACACACCAAAATCCAACATAAATAAAGCTACCCACTTACATGCATGAGCTTATATGTGCAATAGAACTTCCATAAATCAAGATTTTAAAGCTGGATCGTCACTTACTTCACTAGATATTCAAGGTAGAAATTTTTGGCCTTCTTGAGCCAAAGAAAAACCGTGAGAGCAGCCTCCTTTCCTAGCTCAAAGTGCTCTCCAAGTGATTAGTTAAGTGTAGTTAAATTTTGGTGTGATTTGGAGAAGATTTGGTGAAGAAATGATGAAGGAAAATTGATGAAGCAAGTTTGGTTCTTGCTCTTTGAGATGCATGGCTGAAATGGAGGGAAAAGAAGAGATGTTGCACGCCACTTTAGTTGAGGAATTGAAGGGTTTTGATCTAGTGTGATGCACCCATGAGGAGCTCAATAATGTGTGGCCCAAAATGCTCCAAAAGTCAACTAAGGATAGTGCGCGTATACGCGCGCTTCGTGCTCAATTCCTTTCGAGTTCGTTTCACTAGTGCCCTAAACCTCTAATGTACTTTCATTTATACTAATATTATTCATTCTTAATAGTCTAAAATTTCTCAATTAATCGCGCGCGTAAAAACGCGCATTTCCAAATTAAGCGTGATAACGCGAGACTTCCAATAAATTTTTATAACGATAGTACTAATGATTATCACTTGAGTATTTAAACATCAAATTACCTATTTTAAGACCATTGTACAAGTCTCCAATTTTTCAAATTTATTGTACCCTCGATCGATTAAAATTTCCACACACGTTTTCACTATTTTCACTAAATGAGCTTCCAAAAATTAATTTTTGAAACAAGTCACTTTAAAAATATAATGAAACTATAATTCCATGTATTTAGGTCTAATAAGAATAGAAAATAATATTCGGGACCATTGGCGAAATAAATAATTAAATAATCTCGTAACAGGAGTTTAAAATAGGTAAATTTGTGAGTTCTTATATGAGTCGAGTATTAATTCCTCAATTAACTTTTCTTAATCTACTATTAATCATTTTTAATTTTTCAATATTAATACACTCCCGATTCAAGTATAGTCTCGAAAAATGTGCACTCGTTGTTCCAAACTAAACGAATTTTTTTTTTGAAAAGTGAATTTTCCAACGAAACGCTTTAAAAACATAAAAGAGACGTTGTTCCATCTAAATGGATTTAAAATGATCGAAATAAATAATTCGGAGAAAATGAGTGAATAATTATTTAAATAACCCAATAATATTCTATAAAAATAAGAAAATTTTCGGGTCCTCACATCCTTCCCTCCTTAAAAGGAATTTCGTCCTCGAAATTCACACCTTGATTTATAAATAATCCCAAATACTTTCTCCTCCCGTGACCAATTTTCACCACTTTTAATTGTCACTTTCAAAACTCACGCTTATTGAACTTAAATATTCTCAGGTGCCATTCATGATCTTATTATAGGTCTAAGGGCTTGTAGCAATTGATTACATATCCATATACACTATAAAATCAATTAAAAGTAAGGTAAATTTTTATATGCCATAAAAGATCATAGTAGTTACACTAAATTATAATAAGTTCATCAAATCGTTTCAAAAGAAAAAGGGGAAGCAACAAGATCAAAATATGTAAAGTCGCAATACCCAACAAAAGGATAGCATCCCCTACACAAACGATTACTGTCTTCCAAAAGTTCTAGTCTATACTAAGGTAAAACTACAATCCCTGTTTGTCGAGTAAAGTTAGGTTCATCCCCACTGGTAAAGTTTCCACTATTTGGATTTCTCTTACAATCATCAGTATTAATCACTACTTCTGGCACTCGACTGATTTGTAGTGAATTTAGCAGGTTGTTGAGAATTTCCTTCTCCCTTAGAAGCTCTAGGACAATTCGAAAACTTATGCTCGATACTACCGCATCTCAGACATTTTCCTTATTTTCTCTAGCAGTCGGCTTCAGTGTGGTTAATCTTGCCACAGTATCCACAAGTTATATGGGGAGTCACGGCTTGACTAGTTTGAAATTTCCTTTTTTGTTAACCTCGCCTACCCTGATTTTCTTTTGGCGGAACTTTACTTGATGGAGTTTCTTCGGATTTTTCAAGCATCTTCACTCCTCCGGCCCCTTTTTCTATTTTAAGGGGTTGGGTAGACCTCTCAAACTATTTAGGGGTATCGCTTGGGTTACCGCTCTTTCTAGCATGAAAAGTCTTAGATTGAGACTTAGCATTTTCTACCCTCTGTGGCTTATCCAAGGCATCCGTAAAAGTGGTAATCTGGGCAGCCGCTAGGGATTCTTGGATTTCTACATTTAGCCCCTGAATAAACCTTCTTATCCTTTTCCGTTCAGTGACTACCAATTCAGGGGCAAATTTAGAAAGTTTGGTGAATCGTTCCTTATACTCGGCCACACTTAATAATCCTTGTTTCAACTTTATAAAGTCGTCCTCCCTCTTTTCCTGTACAATTGGCAGGAGGAATTTGACATTAAACTCCCTCTCAAAGTTTACCCAAGTCCAAGGAGTTTGTTCTCTTTCCCACTTTGCACTAACAACATTCTATCACGAGCGTGCCGCCCCTTCAAATTGGAAAACAGCAAAATTTACTTGCCTTTCCTCGTTATAATCTAAAGTAGTGAAAATATTAACCATCCTTTCAAACCAATTTTCCGCTACTTCGGGATCAGATCCTCCATGGAACTTAGGTGGAGCGAACTTCAGGAATCGCTCCAGGGCTCTATTTTCACCATTTTCTTGGTCCCTAGGTTGGTTGATTGGTTCAGGTCCCTGGCGCTCAACTAAGCGCTCAAGGATATTGGTCATGCGATTAATGGCCGTAGCCATTTGGTCACCCTCTTCATTTCTAGGGTTTTGGTTTGGTCCAATCACGGATCCCTTACCTCTCTCGGGAGTGCGGGGTTGCCGAAGCCTACGCCCACGCCTCCATCCACGTCCTCGCCGATTCATTTAGCAAGATTCTAAATGCATAATAAAAGAAGAATGCATAAGCACATGAATTGAAAAACAGGTGCACATTGCGAGAACACTTTAAATCAAAACATAACTATTCGCATAAGTTAGAATTCATGTCACATGTTAATGTTCATAAAATGAGTTAATAGTATCAAATACAGGTCATAGGTAAGAAAGTGTCACAAATATATGAGTACATGTAGGCAAAATACAAAAGGTCTCACGGCAGCACCACCTCTACTAGACTAGGCATGATCCAAAGAAAAATCATAAGTCTAGCTAGGAACAAAACTAGAAGGATTCACAATACCAGGCCACATCATTCGAATGATTATAAATTTCAAATTCCATTCAAAAGCCTAAGCCACTTTCTAAATTCTTAGCCAAGAACTTCCTACGAGTACAAGTTTTCCTTACTAAATTCAAGATGAAAATCCCTATACAAGTTAGGGTAATAAGTCAAACTAAAAAGAATGTAAAGATGTCTCACTTTCAAGTTCAAGGTGGAGTCCAAAGTGGTTCAAATGGTTCAACTTTTCTTTTCGGAATGTTTGGCAAGCAAAAGGATAAAGGAAGCAAAGTTCCTAACTCTCAAACTCAACAATTAATTATTTAAATTTCCTAATCTTGATTCTCCCCCAATCTAACTTGAAGATTAAAGTCTTATAGTGTTTTGTGAGCAAAATGGTACTTAAGGTAAAATCACATTGCACTTAATACACAATCAAGTCCCACAGTCTGGCATCCTAAACTTTTAAACCTAGGACACTCTACAAAGATTTGAAACCTAAGCTCTGATACCAACTGTGACGGTCCCACTTTTCCCAAGGGCGAACCCGAGGGTATCCGTGGGACACCTGCCTAACTCTGATACCAACTGTGACGCCTCCACTTCTCCCAAGGGCGAACCCCAGGGTATCCGCGGGACGCCAGCCCAACTCTCGCCAGAACTCGGTACAAATTTAAGTCAAATTTAAAATAACTAGTCGATACTAGAAGTCGAAAATATAGAGAAATATCAATTCCTTACTAAATGTTCAAGTCTTACATCAAAACTACCAAAAATATACAGCTTCCAAAATTGTGTAAATGAATACTTTCAAACTTCTAATCAAAGGCCATCAAGTTGACCTCTCCATAATTCCTTCCATTTCAGCTCCTGTTAAAGAAACCAAGTCTAACGGGGTGAGCGGATGCTCGTGAGGCCAAGAAAAGAAAAAAAAAATATACAAGCAGGTAATTCAAGTAACAATAAAGCTGACATGAGAGATAAAGCAATAACATTCAAGTAAATCCCGAATATTCACAAGATACATTCCAGAAGTGTACGGGAACTCTTAGGAGCTCACTTCCATTTGTTTTACCAAAGTTGTGAGAACTCGTAAAATTATTATTTTTCGACTCCTATTTTTGGCTCATTTAATTATTTACTCGAATATTTGCTTCGATTATTATTTTCTAGCCTTATTGGACTTAAATACATGTAGTTATGACTCCATTATATTTTTAAAGTGACTTGTTTCAAAAATTAATTTTTTTGAAAGCTCGATTAATGTAAATAGTGTAAACGTGTTATAAAACTTTAGCCATTTAGCAGTACAATAAGCTTGAAAATTTGGAGATATGTACAATGGTTCTAAAATAGGTAATTTTAGGTTTAAGTACTCAAATGATAGTTAGTGGTACGATCGTTACAAGAATTTCTTGAAGGTTTCACTTTATTGCGTCTAAATTGGAAATACGCGTTTTCACGCGCGCGATTAATTGAGGGACTTTGGGCCATTATTTTGGGACAATTAAGAGTGGATAATACTTGTATGAATATAAGTGCATTAGAGGTTTAATGCTTGTATGAATATAAGTGCATTAGAGGTTTAATGCACTAGTGAAACAAATGCGAGAGAAATCGAGCCCAAACGTGCCCTATTGAGAATTGACTTTGGGGATGATTGTGCACCACACATTGTGTCTTCCTTAAGAAGCTAAATTTGGACCAAACACTCTCTCTCTTAGTCTCTCTCTTGGCCGAATTCTTAGCAGCAAAACACAACACAAAGTTGTCATTTTTCATCCTCAATTCTTGCACAAAACCTTCATAGATTCACACCAAAATTGAAGATCACTTAGCTTGTCACTTGGAGAGTTCATCTAGCTATCAAAAGGAGGAGCTATTCACAGTTTTCTTGGAGCTTCTAAGAACCGAAAATTCTGCCTTGGTCTTCAACTAAATTAGGTAATGATCCAGCACTCTAATCTTGGTTTATAGAGGTTGTCTAACACCTTTAACCATATGGGTGGTTGTGTTTGTTGGAAAATATTGGAAAGTGGGCTCTATGAACTCCCACTCTTGGGTTGTTGCTGATTTTGTGGTTGATGATATTTATAATGTTGGTTTAGTGTTTGAAATGGTGGATTAATGGCGTATAATTAGTAGAAACTTCAAGGAACTCATGGGATAGAAATTTTCGATTTTGCCCCTGCCTTGTTCGGTTATTTTAAGGCCAATTTTTGATGATCTAATGGCTTGAATATGATGTTTATATGTTTAATTAGTTGTGTAAAAATTTTCATTGGAAAATATTGAGGTTTGGTTGGGCAAATGAATTTCTTTGTGAAACTAGTTAAGCTGGAAAACTGTTTTCGTGTAGCTCTGTCCAGCGATAGTGTTTCGGCCGTAACTCTGTCCTCCGACGTCAAAATTGAGTGCCGTCAGTGGCATTTGAAACTAGACATCCACATCTTTCCAATGGTATAAAATGAACGTTTTGGTTCCAGGTGTGTGAGCCAAACCAATCGTTTTAAGAAGGCTGCCCTGTTTCTCTGTTCTGCTGGAACGATTTGATGATGCTGCAACTTTAGACTTAATTTTGAGCCAGTTGCATGCTGAATCTTAAAATGATTTCTTCTGTGAAATTATAGCCCTATGAATGTATTTTCCAACACTATCAACCATGCTCAATTCCTAGTTAAATTGAGTGAGTCATGATCAAAATACGGTGACTGCCTTGTTCTTGAAAACCCTTAGATTTGGACAGATTTGATGTGAGACTCGTTGTAGTCTTACTAAATGAATTTCATGGTGTTAAACACCTACCAAATGTACTATGTATGTTCCTTAGACTTTTTTTGCACAAATGAATCATGTTTGGAGGTTTTCCTTAGCCGAATGTTTGGAAACAGAGAGAAATGGAGCTAAAGGCAGTTTTGCCTTAGTAATTTCAAAACTTTGGTTGATTGGTTAACCTTCCTGAAGGTATTTTTTCACTAAATTTGATATAGAGATACCTTTCATATAGGAGTACTATACTGAAAAATTTGGTACCAATCCAATCCCGTTTCGATACCTAACTGAAGTCCCAAAGTTGAAAGCTCAAATCTGGAAATTGTTCACCAGTTTTGAATTTTTCCCTAACTTTGAACTACCGTATCTCAGTGCTCGAAACTCCGATTCTTGATATGATTTTTCTGTTAAAAACCTTACTTGCAACTCTAATTGAGTTACAAATTTCAGAGACTAGCTCGTAACGTGTGAATTTTACCGAATTTTCAAAGTTGGCCAAAAACCAACTTAAATCTGTCTTATGAACCTAAAACAGTAATTTTGACCCCATTTTTGATTATCTTCCATTTCGAATCATGGAAAAGTGTTCTAAGAACTTTTAGTATTTTCAAAGAGGTTTCCAACGGTACCAAGTTTTCCAATTTTTGACATATAAAATGTGAGATACGATTTTTCAAAATATCGTATCAAAACTGAAAATTTTCCGAATTCCAAAGGAAGGAAGTTTTCAAGCATTCCTTATCCCTTCGATATTACTTGAACGTTTATACTTGATTTTCCAAAATAAAAAAACTCAATCGCTCTTGTACTTTAAGAAACTTCAATTGAACCTCGATTTACGAGTAATTGAGATTCGTTTTCATGAAATTTCCTTAGATTGTACTAGTGTACAATCTTCCTTGATAATTGGGATATATGAGTGATGCTTCACTATTATTTGCTCAGACGCACACGAGAACCTTCAAGAGAATCCTACAGTGAACACTTGAACTTCTGAAAAATATTTCTTCTTGATTTACTCGGTGAGTGTCAAGTGTATGACTACTTGAACTCTATGGACTTGATTCATGCTTGATTTACCTGATTACATGTTTAGCCTACCTGGTTTTAAAAAATGAAGTCGTGTGTGTACTTTATCGCACTCGTTCTCATTTGAAACAAATGACTCATGTTTAACATGATTTGCCTGGTTTACATGACCTGAAATACATGCTTAAACCTGTCAAATGCTTGAATACATGACATGGTATGCTTTGGCTGCATACGTCATTGGAATGAATCTCTTCGACACTTACATGATGCATGGGGGACGCCTAAACTCACAGGCCGACCTTGGAACTCGAGCCGGCATGGGTTTGGTCGGGAACCTCGGTGAGTCATGAGATTCACATGATAAGGTTGATCTATTGAGAGATCTTGCTTGGCATACTCGTGAAGTATCGCCTTATAAATGTCATGCGGGTCCGAAACGGTGTATGGTGGACGGATGAGAAGTAAGTGGTGATCTATGGTTTGGAAATATCAATCCGGTTGACGGAGAGTCATCGCGGGAAGATATACGAATGAACTGGCAAAGCAAGTGGAACTTAGCTCCTGAAAGTTATCATATCCTTGAATTGTTTCTGTTTACATTTTGTTGGCATTATTAATTATTTGCAAGTTATCACTTGAACTGTTACTTGAGCTTGTTACCTGAACTATGTGCCTGTATGTGTGTTCTTGGCCTCACGAGCGTTTTGCTCACCCTATATATTTGTTTTCCTTAACAGGGTTGAACTTGGAGGTGTACTGGAGAAACCCTCCTGACGTG